GAAACTCCGTCAGTTTGCTTAAAAGACCTTATGCCTTGGTATGAAAACAGAAGAGTGATTCATAGGATAGAAGGTTGTTTGTGGATGTAGGCAACAGGTTTGAAACTTGAGGTCGGCTGCTACTAGTTTTGTTGAATAGCCTTAGGCTCGCGAGAATGACTTGGAATAACTCTCTGCACCATGCAATCGGGTTCATGATGATTGTGATGGTCAGTCACCTCCTGCATTTTCTAGCCGGATGCTATGATGGCAGTCAGATCAGTCTCTGTGGTGAAATGTGCAACAACGGTTGTTCCCACTGAGTTGATTCTCTCCATTGAGTAACCACTAGCCTCTGGTAGTAAACTTGCTGATTTTAGTCGAATTTATGTTGGTAGTATGTTCCGGAAGTTACCCCAGTTCTCTAGAACTGTCTGCAAAGTTAGCTCAGACAGTAAGACCAACTTCAGTAACCTAGAATCACACCCTTTGTAATATGGTGACACGGGAATCCTGGTCACGGAGGTAGCAATGACCTTTTCTAAAGACAGCGCCTCACGAATGTATCGTCATTGCTCCAGGTCATGTGCCCGAGCTTCTTCAGGAGAGGAAGCTTGAGACTCGGGGACGCCATGAATAAGGACGGTTTTCTGCTCGTGTTTTCTTCTTCCCTGCTGTGTTCATATCCATTGAACGTTTTTTCCACGGAATATCCGGTGAGATACATACTCCGTTCGATGTTCTGTGGTGTCGATTCGCAGCGAGCAGAATGGATTCCGTTTCGTCCGCGAAGTAGTCGAGGTTCACCATAGTGTAAGGAGTTAGGGTGTCGTACGATGCGGCCCAGCGCGCATGCTGATGGTACTAGGGATGGAATCCCACTAACTACGATCGTCTATGAATTTGCCCCTTATTGAGTTGGATTTGGATTCAGGAACGTTAGTGTACACAAGGCTTAAGGCACCATGATTCCGCCTTGTGGTTCGCGACTTAAGAGCACTAGGTTCATTTGTTTTTTGTGGATTTGTGAACCGCACTGGCGATAGCGATTCATGTAGAGGCACAGGTTTGACCTCTCCGGTGAGTGGAGTCACAGGTGTCTTTGACGGCGTTTTCCTAGAAGCAACCGCTGCGTAGGATGTCCAGTTATTTTTTACCGCGGGCTTGCTGCAGTTTTATGTTTCGAGTATGTCAACTGAATTACTAGTTATTACCCCCTTGGAGAACGTAGAAGCAAGTGGGTTGTAACCAACTTTTTCACTTAGTGTTCGTCTTATCAACCGACTTCAAGTCGCAATGTGAGAGTACTCCTAGGTCCTTCACAAAAGGTGTGGGGTGTAGCAGCTGGCCGTCGAGAGTGTAAGTTCAGCCGTCAACACCGTTCCCCAGGCGCAAGAATAGCGACTTGAATGTGTGGACCGGGAGACGGCCTACGGCAGACCACACAGAAAGATGGTTTAGGTCTTGTTGTAATAAGCCGCACTGGTTGGGTGTGCTTATCACTCCATATCGTCAGGTCGTCCGCAGCAGAGGTAGATCGTTGGTATGAATTAGGAACAATGTAGGCCCCAGCACCGTGCTTTGGTCTACGCCATTGGTTGAAGAATACCAATCGGTCAGGAGTTTATCAACTGGTACCCTCCACTTTCGTCCAACGAGAAAGTCTTGGAGCTACTGGTGTAGAGATCCACCAACACCACACACTCAGCTTTAGAAGGAGGACCTCATAGTTCAGCTTGTTGAACGATTTGTTAAAATCGATGTAGATCACGCTGACAGACTTCCCTTGGATCATTGCCTGCATCCAATCAGGTCGCGTCACGAGCACGTTGGTGATGCATGAACGAGCTGGCGTAGAACTGTGCTGTGTGGGCGTCAGATCTTTTGACCGGAAGAGCTATAGCAAACGTTTATTCACAACTTTCTTTGCAACATTGGCTAGAATAGGTGTCAAACAAATTGGCTTGTAGTTGTCTACCTTGCTGGGGTCACGGCCTTTCGGAATCGATCACACTACGGAGCATTTCCAAACAATTGTCAAGGTACCTTCGGACAGAGACCTGTTGAGCAGGCCAGTTATGGCAGGTAAAATGATGATTGATAAGGATTTGAGAATCCGGAGATAGAGCCCGTCAGGCCCAGCAAGCTTTGTGCCGTCAAGATTGGCGAATAGCTGACGCAATTCTTCCACAGCACAATACAAACTGTCCAGCTAGGTAAGGGTGTGCACGCCGAAATCGGTACAGACACCTGGTCATTTGCAAACACAGATACAAAGTACGCTGTCAATTCGGAAGGACGCTCAGTGCTGGAAGGTAGTGGCTGTCCGTTCTCGTTCTCTATCATTGGTAGGTTACTTATCGGCCTCAGGCGCCGCTTCACATACACAAAGATTCACTTTGGAGCGGTTTTGGTTGCGGTTGCAAGCTGCTCTTCGAAATGCCTGCGCTTGCTGGTTTTCACACCGTTGCAGATATTTCGCTGCTTTTTATACATCTCATAGTCGTCGTCCGAGCCAGAGATAAGGAATTTGTCCCATAGCCTGCGTCGCTGTCCAGCCAGCATACCATCTTCTTTGTCGAACCAATGTGGTTTGACCGGTCCGATTTCCCGACACTTTGGAGGCACACACTGGTTACACAACAAATTTATTCCATTTTTTATAACTGACCAACAAGCTTCAGCAGATGCAGATTGCGGCAGAAACCAATCCACTTGGCTCGCGGCTCGAGTCAGGCCGTCGAAATCCGTCTTCCAGTAGTTGTAATCTGGCTGCAGTCTGTGGCAGCTCCATGTTGGCAATAAGAACTGAGCAGTCGCTTGCTGCCAGAGGTTCCACAATCCGAATATCATGCACAGGTTGTTCACAGTTGGTTAACATCAAGTCTAAGCACGATGAAGTTGAGCGCGGTGTTATGCGCGTCGGTTGGCAGATGTGCTGCCCCAGTTTCAAGTATCATATCAGTGAACTTGCCTCTACCTCCCAATAACCGGTGGTAAGTTCAACTTCAGGCCAGCGTACTCAGGAACCATTGAAATCGCCTTTGGTTAGAAACTGACGACGATTCATGTGGTTTCGGAGATGCGACAGCCAATCTAAACAACGGCTCAGGGGACTGCGATAGAATGCACACACGAACAGCTCTCCGCACCCGAGAGGGGTGGAGCAGCACAACTAATTACATAGACCATATTCGCTTCGCTGGACGCTCACATGTCTCCCACACAGAGAATATCGGATGTAGAGTAAGACGCCACCGTGGGCATTCGAGAGCCTATCACAGCGGAAGCATGAGTAGCCACTAAGCTCAACTTCCTGAGTGAGTACCACATCGTTCGACCACGTCTCTGCGAGTCAGATTACAGCTGGTCGCTCGAAAGCAACGAAATGACACAGCTCATCGTGTTTGTACATAAGACTGCAGATGTTGCTAAAGGCTACACGCATGACGTGGTAAGAACTACCGGCCGAACCGATTTATCCAAATTCGCGATCGTGTTTTAATTACCCGAAAATTTACAATATCCAGGTTTGTTTCTCCCTCACCAGTTCGGCGCTTTGGCACCATGATAGCACGGCTGAGGTGCTCCGCGGTCAGCTAGATCGATATCCGGACGAATATGCACCTCATTGTCTCCCAACCTACCCAACCGAGACAGTATTAGCTTCGGGCTTGCCTCGCAAGAAAAAGTTACTCGCATAGGTCAGTCTTTCTCAGCAGTGTTTTCGCCGAGGCGAATGACTTGCTTCACTTTCACTACTTCCTCTCCCACATCGAGGAGCCTATCAAATAGGCTCTGTAGAAACAACGTCATGAACATAGCGTGTCTGAAGACTTGGATCGTTGGACTCAGGCGTGTGAAAAAGCGTCTGATTTAATCGCCTCTTGTCATTCAAACTGATTCCTCAGAGAGAAGGGTGGACGTTAGCGTTGCTTGATCTGGCCTGTTTTCAGTCAGTAAAAGGAAGTTTTTCTTAGTTTCGTGGCTTCTTTGGTAGTTGAGTTTTCGACGGCTCCTCATGCATCGGGCATTCATCTGCTTCCTTAGAGCTAGAAGGGCTCAACATCAGTGGATCGGTAGCCTCAGTTAGTGTCACGTCTCCGGAAACATTAGGATAGCGAAGGGATGAGTGAGCCCCAATGGGGCGAAACGGCCGTCTGGTGCTTTTTCGGACAGCTGGTCGACATATCTGAACTGTCGGCTGATTGCGACGAACAAAAATACTCACCAAAATCCTTCCATTCATAAGTAAAGAATGAGTTGTCAGAGGGCCTTGAATGGGAGGAAGGCTGGATTGAATCTTGGATGAACTCTAAGCCAATTCGCGGGACGGTAGGTCTAGAGCAGCTTACAGTTTAACGCTTTTGATCGCGAAGGGCATCGTTAGACGATATATATTTCTCCCGTTTTCTTAGAATGGGACATTTGTTGCGAAAAATTTGGATAAAATCATGTTGGATGGAACGGCGAAGACGATCGGAATCCACAGGCAATCCAATACACAAAATATGAAAGCCACCAGAACAAGCAAAGCATGTAAGGGTATTTGCTGTGTATCCAACAATCTTTGAGCAGGAATCACAAGGCGATTTTTTTGGCATCTTGGAAAAATAGTGCAAAAGTGTCGTAAAGTGGGGAAGTAACATTTGCGAAACGGAACTACGAAACCTGTGGGTAGACACCACACAAAATATGATTCATAATTTGTAGACTCAACAATCACATTGAATAATTCCGAAATTTCTACAAATTAAATTCACATGAGAGTATCCTGATAACGCACCCACGGAATAAGCAGCCGAAGGTCACTTGTTTACAACAAATAAGTGAAACTTTCGGTGCGAACCCGTTGCACTAGATCGGAAGAAGGTAGATTTTTCTTACGTAACATGCTTCATCCATTCCTACATTAAACACGTTAGCTGCAGGTGGGAAGCACCTCAGCATGGTGCCGTAAACTTGCTTCACAGATTATCCTAATAAATTTGTCAACAGCAGCAGATGATAGGTTTTCTTACTATGATAGTCCACACTTCTGCTACGAGTGATACAACACTTCGTGCGTTCTGCGGTCCGTAGCTTGAAGGGTTTTGTACGGGTTGGCTCAGGTGCTGGCCTCCACAGTCTTCTCAAATTCTTCTCAGTCTCCCAATGTATTCTTTTAAAATTTGGTGATGGTTTTGCGGTGAACTGATTAGATTGATTGCGTTGAGCACCGACGTGTGCTGTAAATGAAATAGTGTGTATCCAGTAGGGATGAAATCCGATCAATCGCTTTAGTGAGTAGATGGATATTAGCTCTCTTTGTACAACAGCTATTCCCACAGGCATTTTTAGCGTGTGCTTAGTAATCATGAGAGAACTGCCTAATACCGATTTCCAATATCCAAATACCAATGTGATGTCTTTTGTAGCTACTTAGGCACAGCGTTTCTTTCGTACTGACGTCCAGTAATTTTGTCAGAAATACATAAAGCATTGTCTGCAAACTCAAAATTAACATCATTGCAACAGTTGTTCTCAAACTGGAAAAATATTTCAAGAAATGCTCCCATTAGGCTACAGTCATAAGGTGTTGGTAGGCATTACGTGACCCAATTGTCCTCATTCAAATCAGCCAGTGATTAGACAGACAAATGGACGTCAAAGAGTAAGACAACTTACGCTCCCATACTTTCTGCCTGTTCCGATCAAGTCGTTTCGCATTCCGTAATTCTGAGAGTCGCTGTCTTTCCTCCATTCCTGGTGGAATTGATGCAGAATTCAGAAGCCGCTGAGCTCTGAGTTGCCTTCTAACTTCTCTTACCAAAGCTTCTTCATACATCCTTTCTAACCTATTTTCGTAAATGTGTTTCGGTAATCTAAGACTGTCTGGCCCTGTATCAACACTTCTGGGTACTCCGGCCGAACGATCACGAAAAGTGGGGCGTGTGGTAGGTGAAGGTTCAATCGAGCAGCTGATAAAGATGCAAGAAATATAGGTATTTGTATTTTGGCTTAATAAACGACTCGTTATCTCATTAAATGTACAATTTAATTCTACAATCTGTTGATAAGAATGAAAAATGCGGGTTTGAGAAATAAGTTTAACAAAAGGAATCGGAGCTTTTCTACAGTCCTAAGGCTAGTCGGTTGAAATACGGTTGAGCTCTATGAGAGCAAATCTGTGGAACGTTTTGTCTTGTTACTTATAAGAAAAATAAAGAGAAACTGCAGACAAGTGGTTCACCATCTCTCTAGTTATGAAAGAAGCAGTTGGCAAATACCGATATTTTCCTGACGTTAACGGTCTAGTTCGTGCGCTAACAAGTAATGTGCCACTTCCAAACTAAAATTCATTACCATGCCTTGAAAACCAGAAATGACAACAGCAAACCACTACGAAAAACGGTGAAACGACATTGTTGGCATTAAATTCTCTACATAGTTTATACCAGTCGCGATCACTTACTTCGAGGAGCTCACTGGGGTCACCATAAGACAGCAATAAACTTAAAATTTCACTCCCCAGCAGCACAAGACGAGCGTGAATGTCCATGGAAAGCGAGTTGCAACATTTAAGCAACAGAACGTACAGTGAATTAACTGTGAAACATGAGGTATATATTAAAAGGTATGCAGCAGTGCATTATGAACCTAGCCATCGTCATGGTGAATTTAAGCTAGGATAGTCAAGAGTAGTAGAATTTATCCAGGGGTACGCCCTTCAGTTATGGATAGTCACACAAACCAAGTTTTCGGATTCAAGCTTTGCTCAATGACCAATACAGGTTCCATCAATCACATCATCTCCAGTTTACGTGGTATACCGTACGAAGACTGGTGCGAAAAGCTGAGGCTATACACCCAGTTGCCAGTTGATCTCAACATGACCTACCGCATTCTACATCTAGGTTACTTCCCCAAGCCGAAACCACTGCTCCACTTGCCAACACCTTGCAGCACACGCGGACACCTTTCCAGACCTGAAGCGAGTTCACCATCCCCAATGCTTGGAAGACGAGTAGTCAATCCTTGGAATAGCTTGCATATCGCAGAAGCAAATTCGGATCAGCAGTTCAAAACACTGGTGGATACATATTTGTCCAAAGTTGAATTCTGAGAACAGTTACCCCACTTATATTTCATATAAGTGTGGAGATTTCAACCTACCACATGTTAACTGGACGCTGCCTACACTCAGAAACACGGCGGAGATTGAGGAAATTATCGCATGTATCCACTTCAATGGCTGGACTCAGCATGTTAGAGAGCCAACTAGAAGTGCTACTACCTTAGACCTTGTATTCACAATGGGAATCGCGAACGCTTATACATTCATTGATAATCCACGCCTGGCTGTGATCACAACACGGTGCTTTGTGATATGACTATCGATTTACCTAAACAACCAAGTAAAATGCTAAAACCCATTCGTAACCTCCATCGTGTGGACTGGAACGCATTTAATGAACTTATCGGTACCATGAATTGGAATACATCATTCCTAACCCACAACACTACTGTGGCTACAAATGAGTTTATAAACAACATTGCCCTTGTTGTGGATCTACTAGCACCTACTGTAAGGAGAAATACCCATGAACATAGGGGTGAACTCAAGCTTCTGTCCAAAGCCAAAATAAAACTAAAGAAACTCAAGTCGCTATACAGCAGGAACAACAGCTTCGCAACATTGCTACAAATACACGAGAACCTACTATATTTACAACGTCTAACCCTAACAGTCAAAACCAAAGAAAGCCGGGTACCCAGAAATCCTGATAAAGTACGTGCATTGATGCAACTACTCAAAAGAAGAAACCCTAAACCACTTCAGGAGATTGAAACGTTGGCTCTAGACGATGGTTCAATAACGCGCGACATCTCCTGTATATGCGAGGCCATGAACTCTAGTTTTGCCTCCTCTTTTGTCCCTAACATTCAGCCACTTCATCCTCCACCTCCAAAAAGAACGACTGAACTATACTGCAATATCCCTGTGACGTTAAGAGAGGTGCAAAGTGCCATCGCAGCCATAAAACCATCAACTCATCCAGGTCCAGATGGCATCTCCCCAACTGTTATAAAACTCGGAGGAAAAAACCTTGCACTATTGTTACTAAACATTCTCACGCTTTCACTCACTACCGGATGCTTTCCAGCTCAATGGAAGCAATGCATTATAATGCCTAAGCACAAGGGTGGACCGAGAAATCAAATGTCAAGCTACCGCCCAATAAATCACACCTCTGCTTCTTCCAAAGCCCTAGAGCGAATAGTCAAGAAAAACATCGTCCAATATCTTACAAGACTGGATCTGATCAACCCTTCACAGCACGGCTTTCTCTCAAAACGCTCCTGCGTTACATGCCAGCTACAATTTCTCGATCACATCACGACTATGATTGACAGAGGAATGGCAATTAGTATAATTCTGTTGGACATGCAAAAGGCGTTCGACCGCGTGCCACACCAGCCACTGCTGTCTGCTCTAGAGTCATATGGAATTGGAAATCCGCTGCTTAACTGGTTGGACTCATACCTAAACGGTCGAACTCAGGTCGTTAAAATCGCAGCAACAATCTACACCGAAGCCAATAACCAGCGGTGTCTTCCAGGGAAGTGTACTCGGACCGCTACTCTTCTTAATCTATGTAAACAAGATATGTGACCCGATCAAACATGGGCATCCATTTCTGTTTGCAGATGATGTCAAACTGGTCTACTCATTTCATCCAGACCAACTACAAATGTGTTTGGGAAACATCTGTGAAGACCTATCCGCACTAAATATAGCTAGTGAGCGCTTATCAATGAAGTTCTCGGCAGTGAAATCCCAAGTACTTGGGTACAGATGCCGCATCCCAGAAGGCTCCATTATACTTGCCGGAAACGTGATCCCAACGTCTGATTCAGTTCGGGACTTAGGAATTAGGTACTTTAACTCTTTCAATTTCTCCGAACATGTTCTTTATCAGGTTGCGAAAGCAAGGCAGCTATGCGGATATATCACCAGAACTTTCTCCCTACCTGAAGTACGACTTGAATCATTCAAGACAATCGTACGACCGACTCTGGAATATTGTACTATCCTTCACAGCCAATTGAGAAAGAAAGACAGAACGGCTCTAGAAAATGTCCAACGATCATTTACCAAACTGCTCATGGGACGCTGCTCAAACCTGACTTATTATGATCGCTGTCGAAAACTCCAAATAGATCCACTTTGGCTGAGACGCTTAAAGAATAACCTCGTTCTCTTCTGCAACATTATAAACCAACGAATTTATGCAGACAACACCGCACTTGAACTACGGAAGACTGCAGTCTACCCCACACGTAATGGCGGCTACTTGATACGTACAAACCTTTCAAGTCATAAAATTCGGTCGAATTTCTTCTTAGTGAGATACACTTATTTGTGGAACAAACTACCCCTACAGATACGCATGTGTACAAGCCATGTCACTTTTCGAAATCTCCTTCAGACCTTCCTCACTATACCAAATGCTCTGAAGATATTTGACACACAACAAACACTAGAAACATTGACAGAAGTTGGTATAAAAAACATTTGATAATAGCTTACAGCTAGCTTACCCACTACATGTCATTACATACCATACCAAATCCTGTGTCTTAGCAGCCTAATAGTCCCTTCGTTTATTATCCACTCCTGACGATACAAACATCCGTAAATTTTACATATGAGTTGCGCGGGTCTAGGACTCAAGGAAAAGTAATCATGATCCGAAATGCTATCAGTAAACTTTTATTTAATGTTATGAAACGTGTGCACTATACAAATGATCGCTCCCACTTATGGGGCCGTGTACCGTCCGTCGGTAAATATACAAATTTATTTATTTATAATTTATTTATTTATTTATGTATTTATATTTTTGAGTCCAATTTACTGTAGGTTACACTTTTTGCGAAAACACGTGAGAACTTGTGTTGTCAGGTAACAGATAATTTTTTTTACTTTTTAACATATGTCGATGCAGTTGTAGAGATTAGTAGTTCTACTTGTGCCCATGATACATTATTCGGGATATATGTGTAACTACATATGGATATAGATGTGTGTGTGTATACCAACCAGTCCTTTCTACTATACGGCGTGGGCGTCAACTTCAGAGACGACAGCAGTAACCAGGTGCAGAAAACTTAGTTCACATTCAGAGGTCAGTGGTTCTATTATAGTGTTTGTTAAAAATTACCAGGAACTAGTAGCTTACGCCAGTTAAACGAATATAAACAGGTCATAAATTTGTGGTTCGTTTAATGTGTGGACATTTTTATGATTAATTCGGCGTTTGTATATGCCGTTTCATAATGCTTATGCCGACGCGTTTTCTCGGATAGGATCATTTTTATTCGACTAAGAGGCATCTACACGAAACCTAATCACGAGTAAGATATACGTCATGTTAGGAGAAATTGTTCAAAGCACGATACAACGAGCTATAGTCAAGCTTACTTTTATGCTTTGCTCAGCACCAGTCCGAAGCCCCTAAACAATTCTGACGGGCTCATGAGAGCTAAGTATCGAACCAATAACACATGCACATAAGTGTTGGTGTTTTAAATGCTGGATTGCAGAGGAACTATCGTCCGTTGTGTATTGAATTCACTAACTTTAAGTAGACTTTAAGTACACTTTAAGTAGGTGTTGTCACTATCAGAAGGCGATACTATTCAAAGCTTGCGTTACTTAGGTACTAGATGATAATAGTTATTGATTCTTAGAACACAGAAGTTAGTTATCATTAAAAACATACTGTGCGCTTTCGTAGATTTGCACCACGCTCGTCGCGTAGGTACAGACAATGTGAATTTTCAGTCGCGTGAGAAGCTGGTTAGTCAAATGCTTTGTCAAAGAGCTGAGGATTTTGTAGTCGGAACGATCTACTTTCCTTCACTGTGAAAGGGTTTAGTAGGATCAGCAGATTCAATCCGGTGCCAAATATGCTAACTCATCAGAACATAATTAAGTACACCGTGTATTTTAGATTTCTAAAATAACTCCTAAAAGGCCTAAGGAACAAAGACGAACACATGCCTTCCAGTGTGCTTATTTTGTTGTCATAAACCCATGTCAAAGCACTACATAAGCCACACGCTCGCTGTGCAATGAACAACCCGAAACCAAACATGGCAATATTACATACTGGAAACAGGCGAAAACTGAGCGGGAAGTTCCATCGTATGAATTGTCAAAACTGCACACATGCCTACTATCCAGTACTCGATGGTATCAGTCACCGTTACACCATAAGCTGATAATCGGCACAAAACTGCCGGGCATGAAATTAGTTCGAATAATGTGTATCTCAATGTTTTGTAGTTCCTCCATAAAAAGCCAGGAAAAGTCAATGCTTGATTATCACATTGTGTATGCCGTGAGCATCGCATGTTGTCGTCAATTGGAACCTACTAATCACGGTATTTTGTAGAGCTTTTTGCGTAAGATGCTTAAATGTAATACACTAACTGGACCCTATTTTCGTTTGCGCCGCACCTGTTGTATATGTGCATGTACGGACCCAGCGTATTACGTGAGTATTGCGCGTTGTATGGTGCACTTACTACCAAATAGTATGTGTCCAGATGGACCTCGTGCACCTATTACGATTCCGGCATGTCGGCTTAATTTATTCTTTTCCCCACTTGTATAATTGATGTTATATATACCATTGTATAGCCCACTCGGCAATTTAGCTTAGACTACCCACAACTTTGAGCTGAATCCTTACCGGTATTTTAGACGATGCTCTCATTACTCATTATTTTTGTGTGATTTACTGAGCTTCAGCGAACCGCGTCACTGATGAACATGTACTGGAACCGCGGTAGCTACAAGCATAATGATGATATTGCACTTATTTTCTTGGTAATGTTGCATCCATTTCCAGAAAGGCTGGCCACTAAAATCTCAGGCATTAAGCAGTATAGCACAAAATGTGTGCTTACATCTACAAAGGATGTGTATTTAACTATTGTTTAGGTTACCATTTGAACACTCGCGTTATTTTGACTCTGAAATTCTTCATCTTTCCTCCGTTCTTGTGATGATTTTACAGTGGGTACAGCTTCCACTTAATTCGTGCAGTGTATTGGTTAAGTACAAGTTGTTTAATTGCTAATCAGCCAGATTTTTACTTAGATAGCTGACCGACGGCAACATTCCCTCACCCACATCAATTCTTAACTGTATCTCAAACCTTTATCTTCTACCAAGAAAAATTTCTTAACCTAATGCGTGCTCTCCAACTGGACTTGCAGTACTAGAGTTAATTTTACTGGATTGCATGGTTAGATGGAGCAGCTAGAAAAATGTTTTAGTGGTGGCCAGGATAGTTGCGTAGAATGTTTAAGATAAAATGAAGTATAGTACAGCTGCATAAATCCTTTGAATAGACAGACAGCTGAGTTTGAACGCGAAATATACCAACGCAATCAGCAGTGAACATAGCTTCAGTGAAAAAATGTTTAAACACAACTAATTTAGTTTATAGTAATCGTTAGAACTGGGTATGAGCATAATCACTTACATAAAACTTTTGAAAAGAATGCGCTGCTTGAATTGATTTAGGGGCACAGCATTGTACAGTTCAGTCTTACTATGAATGATGTGAGGTTCGCGCGGAGTTCCCTGAGAAGGTTTGAAAGCCAAGATTGATCAGTTCGTGGATTAGCTCTACCGATGCTACATTTACTTACCAATTTCTTTCCATGGCAACTCGTTCTCGCAATGTGAATTTGAATGGTTTCTCTGTGGCCTTCAGTATCTCCTTGGCGTTTGCATGCACCGCTCTTCTCCTCTTTGCTTGTTGCTCTACCATGGATTCGAAGAGAGGCACAAGACAGTGTGCAGGTATAGGTCGAGCATGAAACCGCCCAGCCTTGCCATATCCCGGCTGTATTTGATTCTCCTTATCATGGATGTCATCTAGAAGCGCATTCTTTGATCGAGTCAGTCGGTAGTCCCTGTTCTTTTCTTCATCTCGTTTGCACATTTCAAACGGCTTCGGAATAGTAATTCGATTCCGCCAACAAGGTCTAGTGCTGCCTGAGGATGCAGGCGTCTCGTTGTCTTCCGCATCTATTGACATTGAATGTTCTACAGGTGTGCGACGGATAATTCACGATTACATCCACTTTTGTATGAAAAATTAACCCCATGTAGAGAGTACTTGAAAAATGAAACAACAACATCCCATAGTTTGAGATAATCGGGTTAACCCTGAGATAGAGAAATATGTCCTTTGTTTAGTCGATGTTTTGCACTGCTCCACAGACCTAACATATCTAGTTGGAATCAAAATCTAGGCCCGACAGGTATGTCACTCTCACAGCCCAAAAGGAAAATGAAATTAAAATACCCATTAATACGATGGAGCGTATCAAGAATGGTAAGCCGCGTGTGTAAAAAAAATGTCCGAGCAACAGTGCCCTGTTTAGCATACCTTAACTTAACTTAGGGTTTCAATTTCGAAAACAATGAAAGGCAAACGTTGGCACAGCTGATGTAGGCGAGACATCGTTGTCCAACTTTTTCTGTTATAGGTAGTTGTGGCTAAGGTAACAACAGGTGTGGGTTGCGGTGTGGGCACAGAAAAGTAAAATTGGTTCCTACATTTTATCTGTGCAGTGCTCAGAGCTAGCAAGATTACTTTAAAGTAACACGCATCTTGAGATATGGATGTGGTCCCAAACATAAAGGTGTTCGCTAGTATCAGGAGCGTGAAATGCATCAAAGTATTTAGACCGTGAGTAATCTTCTGAACTCGCTCCGGCAACAAAGTATGAAGCACAACCCAGACATATTTGTCAACATGTCAGTCTCTACTTATGAGTAGAAGAATTTTGGTGAATATTTTTGTTCGTCGCAATCAGTCAGTCGCTTGCACAGATACGTACACGTTTCCAACCTCAACACCAAACTGATGCAATCAGCCGTGTACAACACATGACATAAACAGAACACCGTAGCGCAACGCAAGTTCAGGGCCAGCAAGTCTGCAAACATTGTCCTTAACGATTAGGACCGGGTCTAAAACAATCGACCAGCCGGAATAAATGCTTGCCTTCTTGAACACGGGTTCCGCAAAAGCAGTGAGAAATGCTTGAATGTAAAGAATGTGATCAAACTGTTCGGTTGTTCTGTAACAATAACGCAAGCGTATGAGTTCAGGTCCAGGTTTCATATGACCCAGTGCATGTTTCGCCACCGTACTCTCGCCTATGAGTTAGCTGTTTTACAAGTAGGAATATCAGAGAACGGTTAAACGCCGGCTGACCTTATTTCATCTCAATCTACCATGTACAATACCTTTGCTGCCCTTACAAACGTCATTATATGACTTGATTTGCAATTTTCCTGAGCTGTCTACGATCAGAGATCCATAGGAGTATGCACTTTCTCGATTATGCCGAGATAGGCGTGTTGCGCTAGCATTGTCGAGAATACAGAGCCTATACTTTCATTTAAGTAAACTGGTTATTCTCAATAATACCCGTTTCCGTTAACAAGTTCACATTTAGGTTCTCGACATTTGTAAGGAAAAGCAACATCTCCGTGGGATAAGCCAATTTCGAATTAATTCAATGATACTCATCTAGTCATTTACATGTATTCAGTGTAATGACTAAATAAATAAAAAAACGTCATTAAGTATCAGGATGCTGAAGCCCTTAATGTCCCCTTCTATAATGCTACACTTTACCTGCGCAAGGCGATGCGAACTATGAGGTCAACTTGCTTGGATCGGTCGAGTTTTATTGGTCGGACGGCAAGGGACTAAGTAAACCTAACCAAGGTTGAAATATTTCGTCTGCTCGTAAAAGATGCTAAATGATGATTTTGACACACCGTGCAACACGTTAACTACCGGGTGTTAGAACTGGCGGGTAAAATAGGTCCTGTTAATGGAGTATGATCCGTAATTCTACTCAGCAGACTTCGCTTAGTTTGATCAGCGTGATTGCCACCGCAGTTAAAGTTAAGGCATTAAACATTCGAGATGGCAACTTGTAGTGGCGATCTATCCACTTCGGGTTCATACTCCGACACTAGCCAAACAGTGTAGCGACATTCATGTACAAATCAGTTTAATCGGTGGCACAGCCTTGTTTCATTTCCTTGTTGAAGGATGGCGTAATCAACACTTTCATGTAGAGCTCATACCGCTTACCTCCTATATTGTTCCTTTTCATTTCTCATGACTTATAAGTTGCAAAACAATTATTAAACTAACTGAGGATGGTAAATTGAAACTGGCGTAAACTGACTCTGGTGTTTGTCTCTTGAACTTCACGAACCGAAGATCACCCGTAGTTTATGAGACAGTAGCCGCTAAGTTCGAGCCACTGCATTTTCCAGCTGGATTTGTGATAATTCGGTCTAATGACCGAGTCTTTGGACCAACGTTTGGATGCAGCGCCTAAAGGATGTAGCTTATGTCAGTAGAGGTGGCGAAATTAATACCAGAAGGATTGTAACCTAGCCTGTTTATTAAATACGAGACCACATTGCTTAAGACCATTTCTTCAAGTAGCACAGACCCCAGTTACAGATGAACCAGTCTCGGTTGTCTATCTCAGAGCTGTCAACACTAAAAACAAACGTTTCAAAAACACCAGCAGACCGACACTGTTTGTGCCGGTCATACACAGCGAACCGAGCTCCTAATTCGTCAACAATTCGTCAACAACAATACACCAACACCCAGGGCCACTACTCTAAGCTATCAGAAGTGCGCCATCGAGATGTAACAAGAAATTGGGATATCGCAGCAGTGACTGAAACGTGTCTCTCAAGCAACATATGACATCTAGTGATTGAACTCAGTGGGATATCAGTCATGCGAAAAGATCGTCCATCACGTGCTGGCGGTGTTGCCGTTTACTATCGTGATTAGCTTAAATTCACTCGTTATTCCCTTGTTATTCTCGACGCATTATTTTGCCGACTACAGCTAGCACGTGGATCAGAGATGTGTGTTCCTTGCCTCTTAGCAGTTGTCTACAGACCATCAAACTCCTCCGCAGACAGTGATGACACTTAAACGCCCGCCGCTATGCAGTTTCAAAAAGTTACTCTCATTGCTCTATAATGGGTGATTTCTCAGTACGTTCAATTGGCTCAGTGTCCCTTAATGCGACAACATTTAAATCAAAACTCCTTGCATACATGGATGTTACGGTCTTGTACAACCATGTACACTGACAACCAGACACCGTAGTTCAAGCAAACCATTATTACTGGATCTAATCCTGACAAATGAAGAATTGATGGTTGAGTCAGTCGCACAAGACCTTCCTCTAGACAGTAGAGACCATGCAGTCGTAACACCTGGTTATGTGTTATGCCACTATGGTTGATAAAAAAACCCAAAACCCAACTAACTAGTACTGGACATTCCGAGCTTCCCAACCTATCGACAAGCGTTGACTGGGACTTACAAACGCACAGTTCGACGATCGACGCATGGAATGAATTGGAAGGTAAAGTTAACTGGGTCACATGATCAGTCTCAAAAGTTGTACCATTACGGGTATCACGCTGGACCAACAGTTGGATCTGAAGCAGAACACGTAAATGGATCAACAGAAGAGATGACATTTGGAAGTATCACACAGTAAGCCCATGTGACACCTCATGGCAAAAGTACAAAACGGTAAGAAACTACGGCACGTCACTTATTAAAGCAGACAAGCACGGATGACAGGAGACCCTAGTACTCATGCTTGCGAGTAACAACAAATGCTAAACAAGTATGTGAGCGACAAAAGAAGGATTAAACTTGGAATACACCACTCACGACGGCCAGTGGCTTAACGACTGCTGCTGTGAATACTGCGAACGCTCTACTCCTGCAGTTTGGCTCAGTGGCTATAAATACCATGGAACCTTTGTTTTATTAACTACCAACCAATGCTGTGGGCTTATCCAGTGTCATCTTTACCCCAGACGCTGCCGTTAATAAAGTAGTCACTCCGGGAAAACAATGCCTAGGGGAATCGGCAAGATCTTCCCACCCTAACAGTATATCTTGCAGCATTTCCAGGGTCCGTTTGACTCCCATACACTCCCAGCTGAGTAGAAACGTGGTATCATCACCGACATACAAAGTAAACGATCGGAGCCTGCTTACTACCGACGTGTCGCTCACCCACCAGTTTTATCAAAAGGGATGAACTGACGCAATATTTCGTAGGTCTGCAAATAATTGCCAAAGTCCAACATGGTTTCAGACGCAGAGGACCTGGTCTCACCAATCTGCTCCTTGCCTTGGATTCATGCACCAGGGCAGCTGATGAAGGAGTCCACATGGATGTGGTCTACTTAGATATTTCTAAGGCATTCGACAGGGTCAATCACTTCGTTCTCCTCTAAAAGCTTGCTGTCTACGGTATCAATGGTTCCCTGCTCACATGGTGGGAAGAGTACTTACATGACAGAACCATCAAAATAAGAATATCCAGCACTCAATCCGAAAGCCTGTGCGCACCCACTGGGGTACCGCAACGATCCATCCACGGCCCGCTAATGATTTAGTTTATATAAATGACCCAGAAAACCGGTAATCCCCAGTACAGATATTTGAAGATGATGCTAAACATGGAGAGCAATTCATTCATCATCCGTCCACGATCAGAACCAGTTGGACCGGATTAAAAAAACGGGAAATGGGGAACCAACTCACGATGAAGACCGCAAAGTGCCATCTTTTGACGGTGCGTAGCAGCTTCATCAACACATATCTTCTGGGACAGTACGTTTTGCAAGAGATGACTAGTGTACGAGACTTAGGGATCATCGTTTAAGAAAGTCTTAAAATTTCGCTCCAAGGTTCGAAAGCAACGAATGTGACGAACTTAAACTTGAGGCTTTTGAGGCGAACTCTCGGCACCTTTGAGAGACGGCTAGTACCACTGTTGATCAACACATAACTTCGTCCCCATGTTGGATATGCTATTCAGGCCTGGAACCCATGGTTAAAACGTGATATTCATCTCTTGGAGCAACCCAAAGAACAGCTACCAAGACAACACGTGGACTATCCGGTCACAGCTACGAACAGTGCCTTCGTTTACTTTGTGTGTTCTCTTCAGAAT